CAGTCAGTCGATGGTTTTTGACCAGCTGCCTCCTTGGGAATGTGGGTGAGGGCCGTCATTGTTACATCAGGAAGATCAAGATAAAACAGCTGGTTTACAAACGCAGGCCCATCTGAAGACATCTGTTCAGGGACGAATCATTTTAACCCTTTAACTGCCCACTCAACCATATGGTTTAGCACATTTTGGGTCTCTATCTCCATATGAGGAGTGCCTAACTTAGCTTAACCTCATTGAGCCATCTCTGTCGCTTGGTTGAGGTACGATATGCTAAAGAAATCCACTACAGGGCTCTGCTTCTTTAAATAGTATTCTTCTTCCCCTCTCCAACCAGGAAGTCAGAAACACAAAAAATCTGTCACAAATATTGACTGGTTGTGGTAAAACTTTGAAAGGCAAGAATAGTTTTCTGGCATATTATAGTGTTCTAGACCTTACTAAACAGAATTATGTTACTTGATACCACCTAAAAAGCTAAATTAAAGGTCTAATAATTTTTTCAAAATATGCTTGACCAAACGGTTGATTTGTCACTTGATGCTAAATGTAGCAAATCAAGGTAATTTAGTTAACTTTTTTTTTTTGGGTATAAAATCAAAAGTCATTTTCATCTATTGGTGTAAATAGGAAACAATAAGTGTTATTACAATGTTATACACTAAAAATAATTATAACATCATCCATCCATCCATTTTCTGGTTACCCTTCTACCTAACGCGGTCGGGAGTTGCTGGTGCTTCTCCAGCTGCGTTCCGAGCGAGAGGCGGGGTCACCTGGACAGGTCACCAGTCTGTCGCAGGGCAACACAAAGACAAACAGGACAAACAACCACACACACACACACACACACACACACACACACACACACACACATCTAGGGAGAATCTGGAAAGCCCAATCAACCTGACAGTCATGTTTTTGGATTGTGGGAGGAAGCCGGAGAACCCGGAGAGAATCCATGCACGCACAGGGAGAACATGCAAACTTTGTGCAGAAAGACCCCGGGCCGGGAATCGAACCCAGGACCTTCTTGCTGTATAACATCATCTTACAAAATAATTTTTGTAATAATTTCTTCCTTTGGGAGCAAAAGTGGTGCCAACACTCTGCAAAACGATAAAAGAGCCCCAGATGTCTGTTGTCTTTTGTGACAACTTCTTTACAAGTTTCAACTTGGTTCAGTACCTGCACACTGCCCTTGGTGTCAAGTGTATCGGCACCGTAAAACCGAACTGCACTGGTGGAGCTCCATTGATGACAAAGTCCTGATGCAAAGGGGGCGTGGGACCTGTGACTTTAGGGCTGCTGAAGGGGTTCCTCCAGTGAAGTGGTTGGATAACAAATGGGTCATCTTGCTTAGTAAAGCCTATGGGATCATGCCCTTTTCAACAGTGAAACACTGAAAAACTGTTGCACTTTAGTACAGAAAAAATCAAGATGGGAAAACTAAAAATGCAATATTTCCTTGTTCGATGCAATTTTTCCTTGGTTGAAATTAAAACCAGTGTTGTGTAGCATTTTGACAAACATAAACTGTATCCAATGCCCCAGACATTTTGTTGTTGTTAATTTCTTTATAAATTTCATGTTGAATTTGGATCAAATACATTTGTTAGATTAATTCTACTTAAGTAGATAATTTGTTAAAAACTTATAAAAGTTTCTCAACAGTTTTAGATGCAATTGTGAAAACAATAACATCTAAATCTGTAAAGTACATACAACTCTTAATTTAATACTAGTCTGGCTTCTTTTTTAAATACTTCTTATTGGTATAGAGACAAAACATGTAGATGCTGCCAGTTATCAGTTTGATGTTAGTGAGCTGCTGTGTGATTTTATTTTATGTTCTGAGGTTCATGTTTCTGTTTTCAAGGTTCTGGATAAAGGAGAACTTCACCATTCTGCAACCAAAAGCTCTGGTGGTTCCAAGACTAAATCCCTCAGAGAGCTGGAAGAAAGAAATGAATGAGTTTCAGAACAAATTCATCTGTGAGCGTGACGCTCGCAAGCCTTAATGTAACTGACTGTTCTCTTAATGTTTCATGCAGGAATATCAATTGTGTCATGTGTATATACAATGCATTTCATCATGACTTTCATCAAATGCTGGTCATGTGATGTCGTCATTCTTATTGTTTTTGAACTCTCACTTGATGAACCTTACAGCTGCTTTCCACTTCTCATTGGACACACTGAAACTAGGAGGGCTTTGTCAAGAAAATCCGAGATCATCCCTCTTCCCCATGCTGGAGATTTTAGTTAACAGTAACAATAAATAAAGTTACCTTTAAAATAAGTCACACAAATTACATCTAGATCCAACAGTAGGCCCAGACTGCAATATAAAAAATCTGGTTGTGTATGTTTTTTATCTCCTGCAAACTCAGCTTTCATTATACTTATTTTTTCTATCTAATCATAAGAAATTATAGTCAGAGAGAGATGAGACAGGAAGAGCAGGTTTCCTGGAAAAAGAGGAAGTAAGTTCCAGCTTGCAGCTGTATAAAAATAGCTGAGACCAGTCCTTGTTTAAAAGCATAAACGTTTTAAAGGATAAAATCTAAACATTTTGAATAAATTAGATAAGATTTAAAGTAAAGTACTTATATTAATATTGGTTTACTTATAACAATATTTACACTTGTGGGAAAACTTACAAGTAAAACAAGTAACTGTAACTTTGGTATCAAATAAGAAAAGAGTAATAAGTTGTGATTATCATAAAATTATAAATTAATGCTAAATTAAAGAAACTAAAAGGTTTATGAATGTGATTTTAACATTGAACTTGAAATTGTGTAAAACATGTAACTGCTATTAAAGATCACTGATGATGTGTTGGAGGTGGACAGTAGGTGAAAGGTCAGGGGTCAAATGGGGACTAATGGGAAAGCAGAGATGACCAAGACCTTATTAGGAGATAGCTTGTTGAACAACTTAAACATGTCAGAGACATGGGAGGAAGATTGAGCAACCCTGAGACATTAGCCAAGACCTCAGGACAAAATGTCTCTAAGACAGTGATGGATATGAGTTTATCTGTCCAAACAGTTACCCAATAAAGCACAGCAACAGTGTTAGCCAATGAAAATGCACTGAAAGCGGGTATAAACCCTATATAAGGGGAGAGCAAAAGAGGAATCTTTGGTTGGATCCTACAGGCAGCTTCGAGTCAAGACCGAGATGGACAAAGAACTCTGCAGCTGAAGAAGAGCCGGGGCCACAGGGACGAAGACTGGCCTGTGCACGGGGACCAACCCATCAGCCCCGCAACATGTGGCTTCAAATCGGACTTCTCTCATCGGCTGGGTTCAGACCCCAAGGACAAAGATGAAGATCAAGACAAAGACCCAAGTCCTGTGTGACCTCATCATCCATGCAGAGATGACAGCTCATCAGACCAACAGAGATCCCTGCCTTCATCAATCAACCTCCTCTTCCTCCTGCTACAACACCTTCTTCATCATCGATCCAGTTCTGGGGTTCGAGACACCAAACTCCGTCCGTCTCTCTAAAAGGTTCCCTTTTTAGTTCTTAGTATCAGCGTTAGGGAAAGATAGGCTAGATGATTTATTTTACTTATTTGATTATTTCTGCTACTGAATTAAGCTGTACTGACCCTTGCAAAATTGCTTTACTAATAGAATATTTAGCATAAAGGAAATCTAAAAGATGTTGTGGACATTCAATTAATGAGTCGCCTCAAAGTTCTTTGATGGTAGTAAAATAGCTGTGATGTTTGATTCTGGGGAGGTAAAGTAGGTAATGTTTTATAGGTTGCTTTAGCCCAAATTTAAAACAACATCCTTGGGACTCGCCCGAGTCACTAAAACCAACCTGATTCAGTAACAAGTGCAAGTCGTATAAAAGAGAAGGAGCGACCGTTAACAGATGTGCTCTGTGGAACTAGTTGGCTGTATGCTGCTCAGTCTGGCTAATTCACAGGGGGAAGAAGGGTGGCACATCTGGATGTAGGCCGTTAGTAGTCAGGCGAATCCTTTCTGGAAACCAGCTTAAACAGAGTTTACTTCAGTTCTGATAGGGTAAATCCCAGCAGATTTAGGAAACTCAATTTACCCGTTAGATGGAGAGCTGGTAGCACACATCTCCCCTCTCAGAAGAGGAAGTAGTGACTGAGAGAATAGAGAGTGAAGGGGTGGGGGGCCTGTGTGGATCATAGGATGCGTCTTACAGCTTGAAGAAAACTTAAATATAAACAAATGTATCTTCTAACGACTCGTATGGAACTTAAATATTCACAAATTTAGCTGATAATTTGGCAACCTTTGCACCACTTTAGGTGGTGCAAGTATACTTAAACATTTGCCTTTAGGTATGATAATAAATGTGACTTTATTACTCGAAAATAAGTATGCAAGTAAAATGTACTGCCACCTGCAGGTGGGAAGTGGCATCACTTCAAACCAGTGACTTGACTATTTTTATATGTATAAAACTAAAATATAAACAAATGTATCTTCTAACGACTCGTATGAAACTTAAATATTCACAAATTTAGTGAATTTGTAATTAGTAATTAACTACTAGGTGGTGCAAAGGTTGGAATGTATATAACTGTTAGAAATATTAAAAAAGCCTGGGAAAAACTATGAAATAATTAAATAAAATATAAACAAACGGAGACCATAGAGCATGCGCTCTGTGAGCTCTCATGCTATTTAATTTATTCGCGGATTAAATAAATATAATTCTAAATTAAATAGAGTAATATCCACTGCAGTGTGTGAAGACTTCCTAAAACAAAAACTACTGCTCTCACTGAGACTCGAGTCCTCTGTTCATAGTGTAAAACCTTTTAAAGAATCTAATTGTTAGTAAACGATCTCATTGCTTTTCTTCGCGTTTTGTAATTTACGCGACTGTTTCTGTTCCGCTGGAGAAATCTCGCTGTCTGCGGTTGTAACCTAACAACGGCTTGAAAAGAGCACCTACGATGTGCACATCCGCCTGGAGTGCGCAGCGGTCCGCTGTTTGATAGAACACTGGCTGGAGGCGGAGGGATCCGCTCGTCAGTGCAGCGGTCCTGACGGCGAATCCGTCCCGGAGGCCTCGGCTGTCGGGGGTCGGTGAAGAAGCTGATTTCTGCTTTCACAGGTATATCCAGTTGGCAACTTATAGGTACCACTGTTAAAAGTGTTTGTAAGTCCAGGATAGTTTGTTTCATTTTAACTTACGTTGACACAATTGTGAGTTTTCATGCAAACGGCAGTCAACAGTTACGACCCAATTCCTCTACAAATGTGCTAACGTTTAGCATTTCGAGTAACAGTAGTTCGCATTCAGACTGGCGACAGTTAACAGTGTCATGTAGGCTTGCCAACTGACCCGTATTAGCCGTCACATCCCGTATTTTAAACCAAATTGAAGTCCTCTGTACCGGACGCTGTTTGTCGTGTTTGACTGCAATTTGTGTTGACAAGCACTAGATGGCGCTCCGCTCCTTACAAACCGAGACATCGATAAATATATGAAGTCAAAAGCGCGGGCAGCTGTGCTTCATCTGCCAAAGGCTTTTCCTATCAAAGTCATAGCTAATTCAGACACATTTACTTTGACGATGAATTTGTAGAAATCTGCAAACTAAATTAGTTTCTATAACTGCAAAATGAAATGGGTTAAACATGTTCGTGGCTAAACGAGAGTCTGAACTTCTCTGAAGGTTTAGAATATCACTGCCTTTGATTAATACCAGTTATTGTTAATCAAATGCAACTCTCAACAGGTGGTTGTTAAGCCTTGATGTAAATGAACTCAATGTTTCAACTGTTGTACAGTTTTCAGGAAGTTTGTTCCAGATTGGTGGCGCATAGAAGCTGGATGCTGCCCCTCCATTTTTGGTCCAGGGGATGCAGAGCAGACCAGAACCAGAAGATCTTTAATGTATTTTGATGCTAAATCATTCAGTACTTTAAAAACTAACAAATTATTTTAAAGTCTATTCTCTTAGCTACAGGGAGCCTTTGTCAGGGCTTTGTAGCTGGGGTGATGTGCTCTATCTTCCTGGTTTTAGTCAGAACATCAGCAGCAGCGTTCTAGATCAGCTTCATCTGGAGGATTGATTTTATTTATTTCTAAACAGACCCTTTCAGTAATCAGTGTGAAATGCATGGGGGAATTTCTCTAAATCTTTCTGCAACATTAGTCCTTTAACCCTGGAAATGTTCTTTGCATAGGTTGAAATCCCGAGGCCTTGGTGAGTCCGGACCCCCTCAATCTAGAAAAAGTCTAGAACCCCGCGGAAAAAAATCATACAAGAAACCTTGTATTTAAACAATATTAATATGAAAACGTAAAAAACAAAGAACGAAACAAATCTGACATTCACCAAAGAAAAAAATATTTTTTTATGTCCCCCCCTCCTGCAACTCTTAGGTAATGGTTTAGTCCAAAGTGTAGGAGGAGCAACAAAAAGCCCTGTGGCACAGGGTCAGTCAGTCATTGAAGTCAAGAGGTAGTTGTGGCTCTGCAGCACAAACAAAAATCCCTCCAGTCAGTAAATACTGAAAGCAAAAGACATGCAAGACCTTTAGCTTGTTTTCACTGCTGAAGAGAAAGAAATGCATTAATAACAAAAATCAGACTGCAGTTTGTTATTTCATTACTTTGGCTGAATCATGTTAAACTGCCTTGTGATGCCTTGGAAAGCAAAACTGGCTACATTGCTTTGATAGGCATACGCAGATATCAACTATATTTAGCTCTCCAACTCTTCCATTAATGAGAAGAGTTTGAAACGGGGGAGCTAAGCGCTGCAAGTAGCCGACAGCTCAGTGTGTGGGAGCAGAAAGCAGAGAGAGAAACAGAAATGTATGCCTTTAGTTCTTACCATCTTCAACACAGAGCCTCTAAAACCACACAGGTACACAAAAAAATCTGAATATTTTTCTATAAAAACCTTGGTGCTTTGAGCATTAAGTTTAAGTTATGATACTTCCCAGATATTCATTATTTTACAGACTTTTAGATTAAGTAAATAACATAAATTGTATTGCGAGCCACTACAATAAATCAATATTTATGAGGAATTTTATCAAATGGAGTTACTCATTAAAACTTTTTATCGTGAACCTTAAATTTTTGTAAAGGTGCAGCAGAAATTAGATCTGCGACACTGAATCAAACCCAGACTGTAACTTTGCCGACCCTCATCTCCAAATTGTTCTTTAAAACATTCTCTGTTTATTGAAAATAATGAAATGGGATTTCCTCCCTTGGTTCTTCAGGTGATAGAAGGCTGACTTTGTAATTATCTTTATGTTCTGATGCTGCATCAAATCCTGATGTCTCTTAAAAAGTGGAAGAGGAACCCACCGCTTTCCTGTGAGCTACAGCTGAGATCGTTCAAGGAGACATTGGACATTTTCTAACGTCTCCATCATTTTCTCTGTAAAGGATGGAGGACAAAGTGGACGAAGAAATTTATTCTACAGTCACCGACATCCAAGACGAACCTTCTCCTCAAAGTAAGTAACTCTAGATATGTTTTATGAGGACTGAAAAGTAGCAGTGCTACCCACGTTGTTGTGTTCGTTTTTCTTTTTAAATCACAGATGAGCTTTAATGTCTTTGAATCATCCCAAAGTTCTCTCAGCAAATCAAGTTTAAGACAATTTAAAGACCTTCATATGATGAAAACATAAAACATGGAGAAGCTATTCTGCTGTCGCATAATAAAAGAACGTAAATACGATTTGGAGAATGGACTTATATTGAACTTATATACCTTATCAAGTTCATTGTTTCTTTCAGGTAAAGAAGAAGAAGATGATGAACCAGAAGAGCAACAAGCACTCACCAAGTCTCGTCTGTATTTGGTGGGTTTGGGGATTTTTATTGGCCTGATTGCTGGAACACTCATTTACAGTAAGTTTAATTTCAACACGATATATATTTTTCTCTATGAAGAGGAGGTGGCGGGACATTGAGTCCGAGTGGACAATGTTCTGTGCCTCCATTGTCCAGGTGGTTCACCAGAGCTGTGGCTGCAAGGTTGTCGGTGCCTGTCGCGGCGGCAACCCTCAAACTCGTTGGTGGACACTTTCGGTGAGGGAAGCTGTCAGGCTGAAGAAGGAGTCCTATCGGGCCTTTTTGGCCTCTGAGACTCAGAAAGCTGTTGATGGGTATCGGCGGGCGAAGTGGCATGCAGCTCGGGTGGTTGCTGAGGCAAAAATTTGAGTGTGGGAAGAGTTTTGAGAGGCCATGGAAAAAGACTTCCGCACAGCTTCAATGCGATTCTGGTCCACCATCCAGCGTCTCAGGAAGGGGAAGCAGTGCAGTACTAACACTGTTTGTAGTGGGATGGTGTGCTGCTGACCTTGACTCAGGACGTTGTGGACCGGTGGGCAGAGTACTTTGAAGACCTCCTCAATCCCACCAACATGCCTTCCATTGAGGAAGCTGAGTCTGGGGACTCTGGGTCGGGCTCTCCAATCTCTGGGGATGAGGTTGCCGAGGTGGTTAAAAGGTCCTTGGTGGCCGAGCCCTGGAGGTGGATAAGATTCGCCCAGAGTTTCTTAAGGCTCTGGATGTTGTAGGGTTGTGTTGGTTGACACGACTCTGCAATATCTCATGGACATCAGGGGCAGTTCCCTGGATTGGCAGACTGGGTTGGAGGTCCCCCTATTTTAAAAGGGGGAGCGGAGGGTGTGCTTCAATTATAGGGGGCCACACTCTTAAGCCTCTCTGGCAAGGGCTATTTGGGGGTCCTGGAGAGGAGGTTCTGTCGGACAGTCGAACCTCGAATTCAGGAAGAGCAGTGTGGTTTTCATCCTGGCCAAGGAACACATTATCTGACGATCCACTTGGACCGCAACAAAAGGTTGGGGACCACTGGTTAAAAGCATTAAGATACAAGTGTCTAACAGTAGGAGGTATATTTGGTTTTGGGGCCCTCTACTTCTGCTAATAATGTGGACTGCTTCTATCAACAGTGAGATGATTAGTTCATCCACACACCTGATATTAACTTACTGCATCTCTGACATTGCTGTTTACATTACATCCTATATGCATGTGTCATGTAGGAGACATTAATCAGTCTATTAGCAGCTCCAGAAATTTTCTGGATAAAAATCACATTACTAAGACACATTAAAACAAGCTTTATCTTGGTTTTTCTTTTTCCTCTTTCTTTTCTCTGTCCCTGATGGATTTTGACCTTTTTGTGACATTGTTCAGCCAACTTATCTTCCACTGGTGCTTTGGCGGTTTGAATGAGCAATGCTCCTTGTAGCTCATATTACCAGTGAAGCATAACCTACCTGAGCAAGAGCAACTGGAAACAATGATCAAATATCTGTTATTGTAAAAAACAATCACAACTTTACAATGAAATTGTGTGTTTCTGTTAATATAGTCCCATAGAAATTACTTGAAAAATAAATCAGTTCCACTTGAGTGCACCCTAGTGGCCGTAAGCAGTCACTTCATTTGCCTTGGGCCGTTCTGGTAGGAGGAGTTATGAAGGTTGATGAAAAGTCAGGGACACTGAAGTGTCACCAAGAATCAATTTGACTTAATGCTGCTCAGCTTGAAACCTGTCAAAGTGTTCAAGTTTAATATGGCAGATGTAAAGTTGTGAAGAGGACGAAGTCTGGTTTGTGAACCTCAGGATCTCATCTTTCTCATAGAGGAGGGCTTAAATCTTAAATAGGTTTACTGTTCTTTGGTTCTAAACTGAGAATACTGTTGGATATCTTGAAAAGATCTGAGAGAGAAACTGACTGACTAATTTGTGTTTTTCTTTAGTGAGTGTAAGGATGGTCACGGTGCTGGAAAATATCAATCACCTTACAACAAAAAGAATGCAGCTTATTTCGGAAACTAAGACGATGGAGGAAGAGATCGTCGAACTCAACCAAGAGATTGACAAAAGTGATTGATTTTTAGATTACCTTTGGAACTCTTTATTTTCTGTTATCATCAATTCTTAACAATTTTCAAGAATTACAGTGGTTTGCAAGTATTCACAGCTCATAATGTGCTCAAGATTCAAATTAAATTTCAATGAATTCAATTTATTTTATGTTCATTTATTCCATATATGGAATAGTTTAAGGCGTATGAATACTTCTGAAAACCACTTTACCTGATCATTATTATGTATTATATGGTGCAGAAGAACACTTGTTTAACAAGAAACTGGTTCAGTAAGATTGATTTATTAGCAACAGCGTTACAGCAAACTTTAGATTCTGAATAATTAATTTTTTTGAGCAAGCATAGAGCCAATTCTAACTAGAATAGTAGCTTCATTTAATCAGCTTTCAATATTGATGCATTCTACCTTTGTAATCTTTGCTTGAGAAATTTTGATGAGGAAACATTAAAATGTACACTTTATTTCCATTTGATTATTTTCCCTTCTTTCTTCTCTTCTTCTTGTCTAATGGATCCAGAGTGTGAACCATGCCCGAATAAATGGATTCTCTTCAAGAACAAATGCTACCTCTTTTACGACAGTCCACCACCTTGGAAGACCTGGGAAGAAAGTCAAAGGTTCTGTCAGAACAAACGAACACGTTTGCTTACAATTGGTAGTCTGGAGGAGCAGGTAAAATTTTAACGCCAAATGTAGTAGCTTAACGCTAATCTGGAAGTTTCTCAAAAGCTGAGGGTTTAAAATAAGAAAATTTATGACGATGTACAAAAAATCTATTCACAGGAATTTGTCAGCAAACACATAAAGTATTACATGATGAATACCATGGGTACTGGATAGGATTACAACATGTTAGCAACTCTGGACCTGGATTACTGGAAATGTAGACACTCTTGGGTAAGAACTATTCTCTAAAAATATACATGTTGAAATAGAAATATAAATATATTTGACACACTTGTAGAAGAGTTAAATAAATTGACTTCTCCAGGACTTCTAAACCAAACCTTGGTGGACTGTGAGATATGTTTGGGTTCATTGTTCTGTTTGGACGTCCAATGATGTCAAGCTTACTGGGTTTCCTCAAGCTTCATCCGTCCTCAGACAGCAGGACAGTTTCTCCCAGGATATCCTGATTGACTCCATCTTGACCTCCACACTCTGCAAGTTTCCAGAGGAAGGGAAGCGGCCCCAGAGCATCATTGGGTCCCTGCCGTGCTTCACAGTGGGCAGGGTGTTCTTTTCAGCATGAGCTTCAGACGTCTGATCAGACTCAAGAAGTTCAGAAAAACAAAACCGTTCTTCATCCTCCTAATATCGCTAAGAGCAAACTGCAGCTGGGTTTTCTTGTGCCTTTGGGTCAGTGGTGCTGAAGGTGATTGAGTTCAGGCATGGAGACCTTCAGTCCTCAGTCTGTCCTCACTGTGGGACCTGAACCCTCTGGCTGATGCCACCAAGCCTTGCTGCTGGTATAGAGACAAACATGTAGATGCTGCCAGTTATCAGTCTGATGTTAGTGAGCTGCTGTGTGATTTTATTTTATGTTCTGAGGTTCATGTTTCTGTTTTAAAGGTTCTGGATGAAGGAGAACTTCACCATTCCGCAATCAAAAGCTCTGGTGGTTCCAGGAAAAAATCCCTCACAGAGCTGGAAGAAAGCAATGAATGAGTTTGAGAACAAATTCATTTGTGAGCGTGACCCTCGCAAGCCTTAATGTAACTGACTGTTCTCTTAAAGATTTGTGCAGGAATATCAGCTGTGTCATTAATTTCTGTATACAAGGTATTACATCATTATTCTAGTAATCTGATGGTCATTTTATATTATCTTATTCTAAGTGGAGAGAGAAAACATGACTAATGAAAATCCTTTCAACACAGATGAATCATTTTTATGCAAAATCTCAACATTAAAATGAAAATCGAGGCTTAATATGAAACAGAAATGCAGAATAACAACTGCCAGCATCAGAGTGAAAAAGTCTTTCCAAAGAGCAGAGAAGTGGCATAGCTAAATGTTAAATACATTTAAATTTATCTAAAATGAAACATAAACCTGAATTCATGAGTTGCTAAACAATTTGGACATTTAAACCACCTAAATGACCAAAAACACATGAAATTAGATGCAAAATACATTTAAGTTAAAACTGGAAAAGTAAAATAAGTTTAATGAAGCTTCAAAAACAAACTAATAACTAATTCAATTCAGACAAAATGTCACCTCAAGGCACTTTACAAAAATAATTTCAGTTCAGTCATAAGAAACATTGCAGTTGATTCAAGTTCTCAATGCAGGAAGTGATTTAAAAGGTTCCTAAGGAAACCCAGTGGACTGCATGAGTCAACGACCAGCAACCTCTCACTCTGAGCATGTACATGGCGACAGTGGAGAGGAAAAGCTCCCTTTAACAGGAAGAAACGTCCAGCAGAACCAGAACCAGGCTCAGTACAGTCTGGAAGTCTGAGGTGACAGAGCAGGATGCAAAAGAAACGGAAGAACTAATTATTTTTGATGTTCATAGAAATAAAAAAGCTAGGCTTTATTTTTTTTAAAAAGAGCAAAACAGTTTTCATACTGCAGGTATATAAACGGATACATTGAGACATAAATTAGTAGATTAGGTTGATGGAAGATGAAGTTTATGGAATATTTTATTCACAGCACAGATTAAACAGACTAAGCTGCTTTCATATGCAGCTTACACTAACAGGATTAATTAAATTGTAAGTTTTGTTTTGGTGTCTCAAAGATTCAAGTCAGGAACTCCACATTACATGTGACCTGTGGGACTTTCTCATTAGTGGCTGTCACTCCAGAATGAATGAATGATGAGTTGTGCCTTTACACTGAGGTTTAAACTAATTTAACGGTGTGTGTAACTGTGTTTTCTGCTAAGCTCATGCTGCTAATAAACTGTTTTTGTATGATCATGGTTCATCAAGTTGATAGAGAAACTTGGAGGCTGAATGTGTAAAGATGAAGAAAAGTAAGTTTTTTTTCTGTTTGAACAGGATGTAAATCTGCAACCTAAGAATATAAGTATAATAACTTTAAGAGTTCAGATTAAAAAGGCATGGTAGGTTTTGTATTTGGGAGAAATCAGAAATTATTCATAAAGTGTCAACAAATAGTTTTCCTTGATTTTTATTTTCTTTTTGTTTTAGACTACATTCAGCTCAATTAAAGAATGTTTTGGACCTAAAGCTTCTTTTCATCCTGACATTGATATGAGCGTCCTCTTATCAATGTGCAAAACCTTTCTTCTGCATACCTGCCGATTGCCATTGAGATGATATTCACACAGTTGTGTTAAGTCTTCGTTTCTTTTTCTGCCATGTCCTCCAGGCATTCAGGGCTCTTATAAATGGTGAACTGTAACACAGACCATAGATACAAACCTGTAGCATCATTTACTGAGTATGATAATGCTATTAAATCTTATTTAATGCATTCAAAAAAATGTAAAGTACATTGGGATTTAATTAGGAAGTTTATTTTGCAAAAGTTTAAAGAATCATCTTGATAGTTGATTGTTGTGTTACCATGGCTATCATGGCATAGTCTTTGTGTTTGAGCTGGGTTTGTTCACAAATACATCGCAGCAAATAATACCAATAACCAGTGACTTATTTTAAATTCAGCCAATTAACCTGGACTCCCTATCACAAACTTCACCAAATGTATGTGTAAACATGTTAGTGATGCTGAGGATTTTAGTAAGAGGGACAGGGGCCTAAATCATGATTCTGCCCAGGGCCCCATATTACCTTGGGCCGCCCCTGCATGAGCTGGAATCTACCTGGAATCCCCGGGTGCCCCTATGCCACTCCACTGATGTTTTTGGGACCTTTAGATTTGTTAATCATGGCATGTTTGGTTTTATGCTGCTGTTTTAATAATTGCTACAGTATTTTTGTGATATTTGTGGGCTCCAAATGCAATGGGCCTAATCTTCCTTTAACAGTTGAGGTTCTGCAGTAACTTCTATTACTGCAGCAACCGCTCACCTCCAGCCAGATCCCGTCGGTAGTGTCTTTAAACCGCCTTTAGAAACGTAAAGGTGAAGTAGAGCAAACTGTGAGCAGGTTGTAATGGGGCTTTGAAAATATCCGATTTTAACTCCAGAACTCATAACGTAGAACGTCTACATTTTTAGTTGGAATTTGTTTTTATTGGCTCTTTTCTGAACTTAATGGTTGCAGTTTCAGTCTGAGGCTCGTGGACCGCCTCGCTCGCCCTCTTGCTGCTGCAGCGTAATCCTCCCCAGCTGGGTCACTGTGTTGGTTCCTTGGTTGTCCTCACCGTCCATGTTGTCCACAGGTACAACCAGCATTAGACACATCAGTGTGGTGTCTTCTTATCTCACTGCTCTGAAGAATCTCCACAGGAGACCGAACCGACAGGGGTCACCAAGGTCAGCTTCGTGACCCCTACTGAACAGACCAAATGTCCAACAGGAAACCAAACATTGGTCCCTGAATGGAAAGGTTTCCTCAGTCATCAGTTCAAAGACTTAAAAACACATAAAACATGTTGAGTCCTGTCGCTTCACTGAAACTAAACCATTACCTGCAGAGGATATGAGGCCCAGGAACCTCTCCGACCCGTTTCTTCTGGAATTGGGTCGGACGTCGTCTTTAGAATCCAACAAATCAGCTTTGTGGTCGATGTGCTCGTAAAACTATAGGCCATCATTTCCAGTTCAACTCTGACAATAATGTCAAACACAGGACTAGCAGAGGCTAGTGTTAGCTCATGCTAAAAGACAAATCATGTTCATGCCAAACAACAATACAAAGCACACAAGACTGCAGATTTGTGACAAAACCATGAGGACGGAGCCTTCCTTCAGTCCAGGTATTGTGGTAAATCCTGTCTGTTCGGTTGGTAGTTTAGAGGAATCCTTCCTAAGCTGATTGGTGCAAACTACAACTTTCTTTGGCAACATCACATTGACCTTGATGGCAAAAATACAATGAAGCTTTGTAGCTCTGTGAACCTTTTCCAGCAGCCATTGTACAGCGGTAGCTTGGAATGAAGTGGGCGGAGCTCCATTTGGGTTGCCAGGTGAGCGACTGGGTTTGGCTTGGGGTTGCTAGCTATGAAATTATGACGCATCAATTTAAAGGTTTTTGAAACAGTTTCAAAAACGACATATGAAACACTTTTCCCAAAAAACTGCTGGGTGTTTTGTTTTATTTTTGCCCTTATATTGTCTCTGGGAACAGGAGATGACCAAATGGAAAGATGGAAACATGCTAAATGTGAACTTTGCATAGTAGGAGACGATCAATAAAATCAAGAATATAATGGACATCCCTGACCGTCTCTTCATGACTGCTTGGTCTTGGAAAAACAACATCTAAACTCAATAAGTGAGAGTTCATAAACAATGAGAATGAAGAGACAAAACGACCAGCAGATTATTAAGGTGGTGATGACTTGTATATAGAAATTCATGGCACATTTAATGAAACTTTAAGAGAACAGTTAGTTGGACCTCAGTCGAGCGTTATGCTCACAAATGAATTTGTTCTCAAACTCATTCATTGCTTTCTTCCAGCTCTGTGAGGGATTTTTTCCTGGAACCACCAGAGCTTTTGGTTGCGGAATGGTGAAGTTCTCCTTCATCCAGAACCTTTAAAACAGAAACATGAACCTCAGAACATAAAATAAAATCACACAGCAGCTCACTAACATCAGACTGATAACTGGCAGCATCTACATGTTTTGTCTCTATACCAGCAGCAAGGCTTGGTGGCATCAGCCAGAGGGTTCAGGTCCCACAGTGAGGACAGACTGAGGACTGAAGGTCTCCATGCCTGAACTCAATCACCTTCAGCACCACTGACCCAAAGGCACAAGAAAACCCAGATGCAGTTTGCTCTTAGCTATATTAGGAGGATGAAGAACGGTTTTGTTTTTCTACTTCTTGAGTCTGATCAGACGTCTGAAGCTCATGCTGAAAAGAACACCCTGCCCACTGTGAAGCACGGTGGGGACCCAATGATGCTCTGGGCCGCTTCCCTTCCTCTGGAAACTTGCAGAGTGTGGAGGTCAAGATGGAGTCAATCAGGATATCCTGGGAGAAACTGTCCTGCTGTCTGAGGACGAATGAAGCTTGAGGAAACCCAGTAAGCTTTGACATCATTGGACGTCCAAACAGAACAATGAACCCAAACATATCTCACAGTCCACCAAGGTTTGGTTTAGAAGAAGTCCTGGAGAAGTCATTTATTTAACTCTTCTACAAGTGTGTCAAATATATTTATATTTCTACTTCAACATGTATATTTTTAGAGAATAGTTCTTACCCAAGAGTGTCTACATTTCCAGTAATCCAGGTCCAGGTGTTGTTAACTTCTTGTAATCCATCCAGTATCCATGGGTATTATCATGGTATACTTGATGTGTTTACTGACAAATTCCTGTGAACAGATTTTTTTTATTTACTTCAAGTCATCAATTTTACAGAAACTTCCAGATTGGCTCTAACTGCTCCATGTGGCGTTAGATTTTACCTGCTCCTGCAGATCATCAATAACAACCAAATCTGCTCCTCTTTCCTTACAGATCGTTCGACTTTGTTCCCAGGTCTTCCAAGGAGCTGGTTTGTCGTAAAACATGTAGCATTTTTTTTTGAAGAAAATCCATTCAGCTGTGCAGGGCTTACATACTGGATCATTAGACAAGAGGAAATATCATTAAAAAGTGAAACATTAGTAAAATAACTCCAAAAAGAACAAAAC